TCTCCCTGGCTGCAAGAAGCCTGGTTGATGATGATGATGATGATGATGATGATGATGATGATTATTTTGCTTCGTGTGACTTGAAGTTCCAGGTTCCCCATTAGCCTTGTATGCACGCAACAACGCTGGCAGGTTGTGAAATTGTTTTGAACCGACGTCTTTCCAAAGGCAGGCATGGAGATTCCTCAGCGGAAGCCCCACCCTCTGAGACCCAGTGTGGACGCCACCCTGGAAACGGGGAGCCGTGCCTCCTGGGAGCTGCACCTGTGTGGGTTCACGCGTACCAAGTTCCGGGCTGACCCAGCCCAGGGGTTCCGGGTAAAGGACCCACAGACCAGCTGCAGCTTTGTTGGTGTGTTGGAGTTCTGGGAAGCAGCATTCGGGGTAGGTGTGACAGCAGGGCTGCTCTAGACAGGGAGCATGGCAGCCTGCTGAGAAAAGACCCGATTCCTTCCGGCCTTCATTTTATTTGTTTGTTTGTTTAGAAGATTTATTTATTCTGAGAGAGAGAGAGAGCCCGTGCACGAGTGGGGGAGAGGCGGAGAGAGAGAGAGAGGGAGAGAGAATCCCAAGCAGGCTCCACACTGTCGGCGCAGGGCCTGATGCGGGGCTCGATCTCATGAACCGCGAGATCACGACCTGAGCCAAAAGCACGAGTCGGACGTTGAGCCAGCTGAGCCATCCAGGCGCCCCTCATGGACTTTACTTTTTAAATTGAGTCTCTACCCCAGGGTCGAAATAATTGTTCGCGTCAGCCTGGTGCCGTCGTAAAGAATATTTACAGAGGGGAGTCTGGAGACCAGTGTTGGGAGCTCCGAGTGATTGGTGAAGGGGCTTTACGTGCATTTCATTTTGCAGCTCTTTCCTCAGGCTGTTGTAAAGCGTGATCACAGCGAGAAAGATCCAGTGACATCAGCCCTTGTGTCGCGTTTTCACGGCTGCGTTCCCGGTTCTTGTGGGGACAGAAGTGATTACATTATTTCCAGTTCTCTGGAGCGTTCTAAGAGAAGAAGGAGCTGAGGCAGCTATACAGGAAGCTTAATTGGAAAGGAACGTGGAAAGAGTGCCCTGAGATGTGACGCTATTTCAGGCCTTTCTCTGGCAAGCGTTAGCAAAACTCAGGGGTGCCTAGGCCTGGGATCCTTTGGCCCCGAGTCTAAACAAAGGAATACGGTTTCAAGATAAGAACCTATTTGCAGAGGTGTGCGACTGTTGGAGCTTGTGGTCTTGAAGCTGGAGAGAGAGAGCACAGGAAAGTGAATGAAGCCCCCCCCTCCCCCCCGCCCAGTCTGTTCTGTCCAAACAGATTACGGTGATGTGAGCTCGCCCTCACCTTCCCATGATGCATCCCTCCCAGGCTTCTCCCTCGATCTATGGGAGTGGACCAGGCCTTTACCTTTGGGACCCTCACTATGTGAAGTCCATCCCCCATAAACGCTCTCTTCTGCAGAAGAGGGGGGTTTATCTGGGGGACACGCTGCAGCTTTCTGTTGGTGCGATTTTGAAACGGTTTATGTAATCGAGGAGTTGTCTGCTGCCTTTGAAAAAATGTCTCAGGCATAAAGCAGGTGGGCTGGCGGCTGGCTGCGTCCAAGGGAGCCCCTCCCCGTGCTCCCAGATCAGGGCTTCGTGGAGTCCTGGTCTGGGGCTGGAGGCTCATGTCTGTTCTCGGAGAAGTGCTTGGTCCCATCGCAGATACTAGATACTGTTTCTCCCTAACTTAAAATATTTTTTTAATGTTTATTTAAAAAAAATTTTTTAATGTTTATTTATTTTTGACAGAGAGAGAGAGAGAGCGCGCGCGCGCACTTGTGTGAGCGGGGAGGGGCAGAGAGAGAGGGAGACACAGGATCCAAAGTGGGCTCCAGGCTCCGAGCCATCAGCACAGAGCCCGACGCAGGGCTCGAACCCACTCACGGTGAGATCGTGACCTGAGCCAAAGTTGGACGCTTAGCTGACTGAGCCACCCAGGCGCCCCCAGTTTCTACTCAACTTTGTAAGTCCACCATTAATATCAGGCTACCTCAGCGAGCAGCCCAAGCACCGAGGACTGTAAAACTTCCGAAGGGATCCTCGTAAACGTGGGTGTGCTTGGGGGTGGGGAGACTGCGGGTTAAGATCAGGGTCTCTACCTGTTCGTCCTTATTTGGGCGGATGTCAACCCTGGACGTTCAGGCCCCTTGGGAAGCTGACCGGGTGGAAGGGTCTCTGGAACCTCGGGTCAGGTGACCCTGCCTTCTGCTGCTCCGGAAGGGGTCCCCTGTGCGGTGGTGAAGGCTCGCCACCGTTCGCCGGGGTTGAGAGAATTTAATCTCCATTGTGGATAACACCTTAATGCACTCAAAGAAGATTACTTATTGTGAAAGCCTTTCCATTTTGTTCTTGTCCATTTGACAAATGGGGCATTATTATTCCCAGGGTGGCAGGGGCGGAGGCTGGCCCGGACGAGGGTTTGGCCCTGCTCATTGTCCCTCCAGCTGGGCTCCCAGCAGCCCCAGCTCCAGTCGGGTTCTGTTGGGCCATGCTGAAGTGTTGAGGCAGGTTCAGACTGTTGCTTTCATTAGCTTTTCCACTCGAATGCGGCAGGGACGCCTGTCTGTGTGACAGGTTTTATTTAGGGGGTCGGAACCCATAGGTCTGGCAAGACTGCGCTTGGTCTGGGTCAAAGACATTTGGGACCTACAGATACCCCATGTTTATAATATCGCACTTACTTTCTTGATGTGACTTGAATAGTAATTGGGACCGTTGGAGCCTTGTATTCGAGAAGTTTTAAAGTCTTTTTAAATTTAAATCTGCTTGTTGATTTATTCTTTTTTTTTTTTTTTTTTTTAATTTTTGAGAGAGAGAGAGAGAGAGAGAGAGAGACAGACAGAATGCGAGCAGGGGAGGGGCAGAGAGAGGGGGAGACACAGAATCCGAAGCAGGCTCCGGGCTCTGAGTTGTCAGCACAGAGCTCGATGCGGGGCTCAAACCCACAGACCACGAGATCATGACCTGAGCCGAAGTCGGACGCTCCACCAACTGAGTCACCCAGGTGGCCCTAAATTTTTTTTTTATTTTAGGTAATCTCTATATCCACTGTGGGGCTTGAACTCACAACCCTGGGATGAAGAATCACATCCTCCACCAACTGAGCCACTCAGGCGCCCGAAGCCATGGGGTTTTATTGGTAAAATTCCAGTGAGCTTAGTGGAGACGGTTCCAAACACATAACAGGAGTCAAGCTCTCACCCTGCGGTGTTTTGCTCGAAGCCGCGTAGAGGCCCGGGCTGTTGTGACAAAGGACAGTGAATGTTCTCCGTGTCATGTCATCTGTGCACGTAAATCCTCTGGCACGAAGCTACGTTCCTCCAGAAAGGATTGTTTACAGAGCATTTATTTTTGAAATGAATAGACGACATTTCTTGCACAAACATTTTTTTGTTCCAACCTTTTGTGAACTCGGGAGAGGCAAAAACAGGCTGGGGATACGTAAACTCCTCTGTGTAGACCGGGCTTCCGAGAGCGACCCACCGGAGTGGGTGCCATGGGTTGCCTGCAGTATTGAGAAAAGGCGAGGTTTTGTCATTCTGTGCCATCGAGGCCTTCCGCGGTGGATGCTGGAAATGGACCCTGTCCTGGGGGGTGGGGGGGTGGGGTTAGCGTCCAGGTCGGGTCTTTGCGGGAGGAGCAGATGAGCCGGGGTGGAGAGGCCCTGGCCAAGGGCGGGCGGGCAATGGGTTGGGGAGGGAGGAGCTAGCTGGGGTTGGGAAAGAGGAAGGGGGCAGATGTCCCAGCCTGAACTTTGTGAAACAGCGGCCTGACAGAGTAACTGTTTTGATAATCTTTCCGCTTGGTATTTTATTTTAGATTCTGATAAATCCACCAGAGAATTAAAGAATTTTCTTCTCCTTCCCAAGTGACAGCCTGCGGTGTTCCCTTGGGAATGTGGGGGGTAACCTCCTGCCTTACGCCCGGCCTCCTGATGGGTCCCAGTCATCCCCAGGGGCTTGCTCGGCAGTCTTCCAGGGTGGGGGTGACCCTCCATTCTAGAAGATTCTCTCCCGTGGCGGGAATCTGTGGCAGAAACTTGATATTTCTCTGTTCGGTAACGGCTCTCTCTGAAATGCTTTGTGATTTTTATCGGGGATACGGTCTGGCTTATTCCTGGTGTGATTACTTGTCTTTGTCGTGTAGGTCCTTCAGCGAACTCACTCTATGATTCTATTTTTGTTGAGGCCATATAATTTGCTAAGTGTTTAATATTTTATATGTCCTTTGAATTATCCCCGCGTCTTTGAAAACCATAATAGGTTGAAAATTACTCAGATGGAAACAGCTTCTTGTGTCCTGGGTATATTTTTAAATGTTGTGCTTGTAACATCTATCACTTGTGTTGTTTTGAGGCTCATTTTTAGTGAGCGGCGACGGCTAATGGCTTTTACTCCATAGGCACATGGAAATGTCTGGGGAATTTTATAAATTTTTTTTTTTCAACGTTTATTTATTTTTGGGACAGAGAGAGACAGAGCATGAACGGGCGAGGGGCAGAGAGAGAGGGAGACACAGAATCGGAAACAGGCTCCAGGCTCCGAGCCATCAGCCCGGAGCCCGACGCGGGGCTCGAACTCACGGACCGCGAGATCGCGACCTGGCTGAAGTCGGACGCTTAACCGACTGCGCCACCCAGGCGCCCCAATGTCTGGGGAATTTTAAATCGGCTGGTGGGGAGAAATGGAACAGTGTCAAGGGAAAACTTCTTGTGGGGAAAGAATATAACAACTGCTGGGCGAAACAGAGTGTTAGCTCTGGAGAAACGCATCAGGAAGAAAAGACTTGCAACACTGTTCCCAGTTTTCAAACCAAGTCGTAGAAAATATGTGAATCTGGGTATTTATCCAAGTCTGGAACTCTAAATTCTCGCCCTTGCTAACTTTTAACGTCCTGAGTATTGTAGTCGATGAACTAAGAGAGGTACACGGAACGAATTCTCCTGTCATACCTTGTCCCTCCACCAGGTGGTGTCCTGTCACGTGGTGGGCGAGGCCATGCAGTTCCTGGTCAGTGCGGGGCCCGCATCCCCAGGAGACACAGGGCGCCAGCGGTACGGTGTCAGGCTGTCCCCGGTTCATTTACAGGTAAGCGTGGGTAGATCGAGTGAGTCGTGGGGAGACAGTGCTCGTAAACCTGTGGGGTAAGCGTGGCGTGACCATGGGGCTGTGATTCCCTGATTTTATTAATCATTCATTTCATAGTTTCCAGACCTTCTGTACTATATTGTACCTGCAGGAAATAAAGCGTGCGTGTTGTGTATATGTGCACACACGCGCACACGTGTGCACATGCAGGCACATACATGCACACACATGCACAAACACGTGCGCGCACACACGTATGACATGCATATGTGTATGCACAAAGACACGTGCACATGCACGCACACACATCTACACACAGATATGTGCACACGTAGCACACACGTATATATGTGCACACACATGTACGATGTGCACACACGTGCATGCACACAGTCATGCCCACACGTATGCACATACACACATGCACGCACATATGTGCACACGTGCATGCACAAAGACGTGTGCAAATGCACACACACGCACATACGTGCACACACATCTACACACAGACATGCGCACACACATCCATACGTGCACATACATGTATGGCACGCTCACACGTACGTATGTGCACACGTACACAGACATGCGCACGTATATGCACACACGCGCACAATACATGTGTGCAAAGATACACACATACGCATGTACATGTGCACGCACACATCTACACACAGACATGTGCACACGTACACACACACGCATGCACACGCGCACACACACACACACACACACACACACACACGATGAATTCAGAGGTTGCCCATTCACCGAAATTGGGAGATGTGATATTTCTCAAGGCATGTCCACAAATCCGGGATGTCGTTGGCAGGTAGGACAAGGCAAGTGGCATCTGAGGTGGAGGACAGCTGTGCTGCTTCAGGACCCAGTGCCAGACTCTTTCGGAAAGAGTCGGCTTTATTTATTTGTTTATTAATGTTTATATTTGCGAGAGAGAGAGAGAGAGCAGGGGAGGGGCAGAGAGAGAGGGGGGGGACACAGAATCTGAAGCAGGCTCCAGGCTCTGAGCTGTCAGAACAGAGCCCGATGCTGGGCTCGAACTCACAAACCGCTAATTCATGACCTGAGCCGAAGTCGGACGCTCCACTGACTGAGCCACCCAGGCGCCCCATGGAAAAATCAACTTTAAAATGGCTCAGTTGGTTAAGTGTCCCGACCCTTGATTTTGGCTCTAGTCACGATCTTGTGCTTTGTGAGCTAGGACCCCGTGTAGGGCTCTGCGCTGACCGCACGGAGTCTGCTTGGGATCTTCCCTCCCTTTCTGTCTCTCTGCCCCTCCCATGTGCGCTCTCTGTCTTTCAAAAATAAATAAACTTAAAAAAGAAAGAAAGATCTTTAAAAGAACTCTTAGTATGTTTTACAAGTTAAAAGATGAGTGTTCCTGTAGTTTTTCTGATTATAGGCTTATTATTATGATAATTACAGACTCGCACAGGCCTCCCTCGTTTTATTGCGCTTCGTAGATACTATGTTTACCAACCGAAGGTTTGCGGTGGCCTCTGCGTGTTTCTCCGTCACAGTTGGGTGCTTCTGTAACAAGTCCTACTTTGTCCTTAATCTGTTTCTCACGGAGATCTGTGATCAGTGATTACAGCTCACTGAGAGCTCATATGATGGTTACCAATTTTTAGCAAGACGGTATGTTTTGATTAAGTCAACGCACATACGCCGTCACCTGTTAGACGTGACGCTATCACATGCTCTGAGAGTGTCGTGTCGGCGTAACTTTTATGCACCGGAGGGGAAGCCAGGCAAATTCATTTGACTTGCTTTCTCGTGACACCTGCTCTGTCGTGGTCTGGACCGAACCTGCAGTGTCTGTGAGGTGTGCTGGTATATATTTTGCATAACGTTAACAATGATACGTATAGAAGTTACGTAGAGACACGTATAGTAATTATAAGAGGCTTATTGGTCAAGCTCCGGGTGCCCAAAGCGTCAGTAACTGTGTGTCTCTCCCGCGAAGTGGGGGTCCACGGGCGCCCCATTCGGCCAGCATGTGAGCACCGTAAATTTCTGGGTCTGTTCTAGGGGTCCCTGCTGATGCAACCCTGGGTTTCCTTTCCTCCGTCCTTGTGCTTGGCTGCCTAAGTGGGGAATGAGCCCAAGTCATCCAGCGCCCCCAGCCACAAGGGAGGACACTGCTGCACGTGCTTTTCCTACACAGACGTGGTTTTGCATACCCAGGGCGAACCAGATTTTCTGGCTACCTAAACGGCCTTTTTCTGAGATCCAGCCCCCGCTCGCCCCCAGCCCCAGCCGCCAACACTTCCTTTCTGAGAGGTGAGGGGGGGTGAGCGTCACAACATGCACTCGTCAGGGGCTAATGCCCTCTCGCTCGCCCCCGAGATTTTGGACAGCGTAACTGGAAAACACCTCCAACGTCTGGGACGCGCTTACCCGACGTTCACCGCCTGTTCCGGAACAGACGGAGTCCTGCCAGACCCATCCACCTCTGGCGAGGAAATGGCGTTTTCCGAGATGGTTCACGTGCCATTTCGTGCAGCTCAGACACAAGGAGCACAGTTGTATCTTTGATCTCTTAACGCACTTTGAATCCACTCTGTGGATTCCCCCTCGGAGCACAGGGGGCTGCTGGAGGTGGCTGAGTTATTGACGACCAAGGCGGGAGACACTCCGGGAGCTCTGTTGTGGCCGTTACAAGTGCATCGGGGGGCCTGCATTGGCCTCGCGGCCCCGAAGCAAGTCCCCGCAGGCTTAGCTTAACGTGCCACCAACGTCCCACGTCCCCGTTCCGGAGGCCCGTCGGTCTGGAAGCTCTGGGGGGACCCGTTTCCTTGCTCACTGGGCTGTCGGCGTGATTCGGGTCCTTCGGGCCGGAGGGCCGAGAGCCTGTGTCCTTGCCGGAGGTCAGCTGGAGGCTGTCGGCAGCTTGGACGGGCCCCCTCATTCCCAAGCTCTTGGCTTCCTCCCTCCGTCGTGAAGGCCCCTCGCCGGCCTGCTCTCCTGCCGTCCTCTCCCGTCTCTAAGGGCTCACCTGATTCCCCGGGGCTCGCTGGGGTAGCCCTTACCCTAGTCTCTCCCGCGAAGCCCCCTTTTGCCATATCAGGCCACGCAGTCACAGGTCACGAGAATCTTCGCGAGGACATCTCTATGGGGGGGGGGGCATTATTCTGCCGCCACAGATGGGGCGGGTTCGACGGATGGCTGCCAGGGCTCAGAGTCCGGTTAGAGGGTGGGTGTTGGCCCAGGCAAGAGAGGAGGTGCACAGCCCGCGGGGAGTGCACGGGAGTGGGGCTGGGCTGAGCTCTGGCTTCCTTCTTTCCTCCCTCTCCTTCGCGCCTTGGTGACACTGCCGAGGAGAAATGCAGGGCCCAGGGAATTATTCATGTGACAGACTACAGAGTTGAGGGACATCTGGCCTTCAGCCGCCAGCGCTGAGGGCCCTGAGTGGCAGGTTGAGGCCGAGGAAGGCGCTGGCGGGGATGGGGCCGGGCTGCAGGGAGGTCTGGGGGTGGGGCTAGAGTTTTCCTTGCCGTTTTGAGAAGGCAAGGGGAGGCCAGGCGGGTGTCTAAGAACGTAAATGAACTCGCGCACACGCGTGCACACACACACAGACCTGCGCGCGCACGGATGCGCTTGGGGTTTTGGTGGGAAGGGCAGCTCCCCAACAACCGTGTTTCTTCGTAGCTGGAGCTCCACATGAAGGACAAGAGAGACGACATCCAGATCAAGTGGTCCTTCGTCAGCACTCCAGAAACGGCCGTTACCGTCCAGCCCAAAGCACCGGTGGAGGTCAGTCCGTGAGTTTTTACGATCCCCCCCCCGTCGGTGTGTGTGAACGTGCTCGCAGGTCGCGAGCGCCCGATCCGGGGAGCAGAGGCTCGGACCAGCGCCTCCCTGGGCAGGCTTCTCCCCTCGTCCCAGAGAACGGGGCGGCCGCGGCAGGGCGTTGGATGAATCTGACGCCGGCCCGACCCAGCTGCTCATCTGGGCATGAACTCTGGCATCTGAGCACCCCATTTCCCCCTCTGTGAAGCGCCGAGAAATTGGGGGCGGGGTTAAAAAAAGACTCAAGTACGTGAGCAGAACGAGGTCCGTCCATCCGTACGATGGAGTATTTTTTCAGCCGCAAACAAGGAATGAGGTTCTGACACCTGCTGCCACATGGAGGAACCTCGAAAAGGTCAAGCAGAGCGAGGCAAGCCGACACGAAAACACGCGTTTACGATCCCATTTCTAGGAGTGGCCGCGGGGAGCGAGAGATCAGGGTACGGGTGACAGAGCGAGGGTGGTTGCACAGCACCGAGCGTCCCAATGCTCAGAGCAGAGCGTCCCAAAGCTACCGGAATGTCTGCTTTAAAATGGTGAATCTTATGTCCTGCGGATTTCACCTCACTTGAAGAAAATCGGTGTATCGAGGACGTGTTGAAGGGAAGGGACGACATGTTAAGTACAGACCACGGAGCCTTAACGCCTGGGTTTGGCTCTCGGCTCTGCCGCTCACGCGCCGGGTGACCCTACGCGTGGTAATTCACTTCTCTGTGCGTTAGTGTCCTCGTCGCTCGAGTGGGAACAATGATAGTCAAGGTGGTCGCGAAGATTAAATGAGCTAGTACCTAGAAGCGCCTAGGATCGAGCCTGACTTATCCTAAGAGTGACGTGGGTATTTGCTGTTTTGATACTTATTAGAGTCTCTAGCAGAGAGTAGATGTTCACTAATGGGCACGTTGGGACTAAGTTGGCCAGAGCAGGACCTGGCCGGCCGTCTGCAGACCGATCCCTGAGATCCCTCCAACCCTGCAAGTCAGAGGTTTTCCATGGGTCTGTGGTCCTGGGGGAGGTCTTTCCTGCAAACATCCTGTCCCCTGAGCAGGTGGGGGTAGCTGGAGCCCCGCAGCGAGGGCATTTACCCCAGAGGTGACAAGGGACACCAGAGGGCTGGTGTGGCACTCCCTCCGTGTGACTGCCCCACAGTTTACGTATCTATTTAGCGACTGACGGATACTTAGGGAGTTTCCAGTTTGGGGCTTTCTGAACAGTGGTGCTGTGTGCATTCTGGAACGCAGGAACACGTTTCCGTTGGGTGGGAGTTATTACAGCTCTATGGAGCTGACCCCTGGTAACACAAATCATCCAGTTTTGTTCCTCTACAAGCTTGTCTTTCTCCTCGGGCCTTTTCACTTACTTGAATACTTTTTAACTTCAAGAAAAAAAAAAAATGTCACGCGAGACAGAAAAGACACATCTGTCGGAAAGGGTTTACGCAGAAATAGCATGTTTCTGTATCCCGCGTGTCTTTACTTTTGCCGTTTTTAGAAATAAGGGGCCTGATGATCTGTGAGATCGGAGGACCCCGTCTCCCAGACGTCACCTGTCCTAATCTGACCTCCCGGGAGCCCAGGCCGCACCCAGCGGGCTTTGCCTCGGGGATGCGGTGAGGAGGGCAGTCACCTGCCCGTCCGGCTGCACGGCGACGGTTATGAAATGATTGGGTGGCGTGTCTTCTTCCGGCAGGAGCGGGCGGCTGAGACGAAAGCAGTGTCTGAAACCCTCAAGGATATCTTGAAGCACCTGGTTGGTTCTGCCTCGCCGTCGGTGGTTCTGAGGACCAAGCCTGTGGATGTGAGGGAAGTTCAGGTGAGTCAGTCCACGGAGGGCGGAGCTTCCCGACCCTTTGGGACCAGCGTCCCCCTCCTGGAGAATCTGCACGCGCTCCCCTTGTCCCTCCACCCCCCATGGGAGAGCCAGAGTGAACGGCTGCTTGCTGGTGATCTTGACCGTGTCAGGGACGAGCTTCGAGTTCAGGGCACAGGGTTCCAAAGCCCCGTGCGATGGGAGCAACAGGTGTCTGGGCCTCTCCGCACGGTCCAGCCCTAATTGGCCTTGACCCTCTGCTTTTCTGTGTTGGCTGTCCCCTCAGAGCCTGTGGTCTCGGATCTCACCCTTCCAGGACTATGGGACCTGGGAAACCCAATCAGCAATGAGAACATGCCCTTGAAGCAAGGAGGCTTTATCTGATACCCTCTGCAACTGCATGAGCCAGTTGTGTATTTATATAAATGTACATTTGTTCACATGCACAAAAACTTATTGTAAGGAATGGGCTCACGTGATCACAGAGGCCGACAGTCCCAGGATCTGCAGGGTGAGTCACCGAGCCGGAGACCCAGGAGAACCCCGGGGGCACTTCCCGTCTGAAGGCCAGCAGACATGAAGAACTAATGTTTCCATTCAAGTCTAAAGGCAGGAAAAAAACGGATATCCTGGCTTAAAGCAGTCAGGCTGGAGGAATCTCCTCTTTTCCAGGGAAGGTCGGCCTTTGTTGTGTTCAGGCCTTCAACTGATTGGACGAGGCCCACCCACATTAGGGAGAGCAACCTTCTTTACTTGGTCTTTTGACTGAAATGTTAACCTCGTGCAAAAATACCCTCACAGCAACACCCAGGACACTGAGCAGATACTTGCGTGTCCCGTGGCCCCGTCAAGTTGACACGTAAAATTAACCGTCATGCATATATAATTGAAATATTTTACCTCCATCCCAGCCCTGTGATTGCTCTGGCCCCAGTGCTCATGGACTTGGATCCTAAGGACTTTTGTGACTGCTTCTTACAGGTCACAATCAGCAGGGTCCTGGTTCACAAACTTTTTTAAAAGTTTATTTACTTATTTTTTTTTTTTAATTTTTTTTCAATATTTATTTATTTTTGGGACAGAGAGAGACAGAGCATGAACGGGGGAGGGGCAGAGAGAGAGGGAGACACAGAATCGGAAACAGGCTCCAGGCTCTGAGCCATCAGCCCAGAGCCCGACGCGGGGCTCGAACTCACGGACCGCGAGATCGTGACCTGGCTGAAGTCGGACGCCCAACCGACTGCGCCACCCAGGCGCCCCTATTTACTTATTTTTGAGAGAGGAAGAGAGCACGAGTGAGGGAGGGACAGAGGAGAGACGGAATCCCAAGCAGGCTCCGTGCCATCAGCCCAGAGCCTGACGTGGGGCTCGATCTCAGGAACCGTGAGTCGGATGCTTAACCGGCTGAGCCACCCAGGCGCCCCCGCACCTGCTTTATTTGGGCATAAAAGGCTCCCTTGCAAGGGAAGAGGTTTTGGTTGATTGGGACCCTCCCTTCCCACGAGAAGGGAAAAATCGTCGCAGAGCAGACCCCAGGGTCAGGCGCCCCGTGCAGACGGTCCTGAAGACGCCCCCCGCCCCCGGTGACAGGTGTCGAGGTGTTGGGCGGCCGCCCCTTCTTCCCCGCAGGTCACTGTCCTGTGTGCTTCTGTTCGCAGAACCTGCAGCACACTGCACCCAGCCCTCAGGAATCCTGCCCTCCCAAACCTCCAAGGGCCCACGAACTCAAGCTGTCGGTGAATAACATCCGGGCCTCGCTGCTGCACGATCCTAGTGCTTCAGGCAGGTGGCGCAGGGAGCCCCGCTGGTTCCAGAAGGGACCGTCCCTCAGGGTGATTTGTGGTTTCGCTGTGGCGCCCTCCAGTTGGGTCTGCGGCGTGACCCCCGCCTTTGAGCAGAAAGAGCCCCTGAGAAGCATAACGGCAAAGAGGGGCAGTTAAAAAACGGTCCTGGCTTTCATACGTGAAGGCTGAGGGCAGAAAGGAATGTGGTCGTGTGTAACCTTGTATGTCCTTCTCTTGAGTCCGGAAGGCACATCCTTTTTTTTTTTTCTTTGAACTATTGAACGCGTAAACCCATGTTAAGCATCCGTGACTGATAGGCGATAGGCACCTTCTCCTTTTCGAGAAGCTGAGGTGCCACGGGGGCGGTTTAGGGAGCGTCAGAAGGGCTTTGGCCCATCGGGGACGCTTCGCTGCATGGCGGGGCTGTTATCGGAGTGAAAAGTATTGCAGACCATTCTTTTTTTTTTTTTTTTTTAAGTTTACTTATTTCGAGAGAGAGAGTGCGAGCAGGGAAGGGGCAGAGAGCGGGGACGAGAGAGAGAATCCCAAGCAGGCTCCACACTGTCAGCACAGAGCCCGACGTGGGGCTCGAGCTCACAAACCGTGAGATCGTGACCTGAGCTGAGATCAGGAGTCAAGATGCTTAACTGACTGAGCTGCCCAGACGCCCCAAACAGATTATTCTTTTTAGCTGTTCCCGAACGTTTGCTGAGCCCCCACAGGCACGGCAGCCTGGGACAGGACACATCTTTCCACTGTGATCCGATTTTGCTGAGACCAGGAATGAATTCCTCTTTATTGTCCGAGCACACTAAGGGTTGTTTATCTGCAGGGACTTCCTTCCGGTCCCCAAAGCACAGACTGTCCGCATTTAACAAATGAGAGTCTGTGCCAAGCTCGTCCTAGGTGATTGTTCGGGTAAAAGCACTTGGATGTTGCCGTCTGGGGCTGCAGTGTTCAGCCGCCGAGGGGCATCTCTCTCTGGACTCAGTCGGCCAGGGCTGGGGTCCCCGTTCCTTGCCTCTGCCAGCAGGTGCACATCTGGGTCCGTGTCTCCCCTCCACGGTGATTGTGAAGATTCGTAAGATAATGTGATAGAACACCTGGCACCGTGGGGTATGTGGTAAAGCGTCCGTGCGTTCCGGTGATGACTGACTACGCCGTGTGTCCACACCTTCATGCCGTGGGACGACAACTGTTCACCAGTGAAATGTCCCGTTACGGGGATCAGTGATCCCCAGACAGGAGTCTGACTGAGCCGAGTCAGGTGTAAAAAAGCACCCCTTGTAAGTAGGGACATGGCTTCCCTGTGGGGTACCCCCCCACTTAGGGGTCGTTCCAGAGGACTTGCCTTCTGCAAGCAGTTAGTCTTGTCCAAAAGTGGGGGCCACATCTTCTGTAGTGATGTCGCCCCTGGGGAGTGTCCCCCCCACCCCCGCCCAGGGCAGGGAGCAGGGGCACTTGGGGTCTGCCCAAGGTCAATAGATACCAAGTTGGGGATAGAAAATCTTAAACCTCCAATGAGGTGCTTCGAGAGTTTGCTAATGGCAAAGGAAACAAAGAACCGTTCCCCCCAGAAGTGGGTGAGCCAAGAGCTCAGGCATTTAATTCCGCCTGTTATATGCAAAACGTGTATACGTGTAATGCGGTTAAAAAATAAAAATGCCCCTTTGTTCGATTACAGGCTACGTGAACCCACAGTGTGTAGTTCGGCTGAATGATCCCGTTCAGAAGTTCAGCGCCCTCGCGAAAAACGCTACGGACCTCACCTGGGAAGAAGAATTCACCTTGTGCGTACAGCCTGGCTATCTTGGGCTTGGGTTTGTACAGCCACACCTGTCCAAGACTGCCCAGCCCGGCAGTCGGTTTGCAGCACCGTTCACGCCAAAAACTAAAACTAAAAAATAAATTTCGCTTAAATGTGTAGCCAACATCCGAGGTAGGAATCGTTACCTGGAGGGGATACGGTTACATGTCTAGACTGCTTGCGAAAATCAGTTAAAACTATTAGAAATAACAAGATACAGGATAGAAAGAATATTAGGAAACCGGTATAAATAATATTCCAGTCAAGTGGCTAACTCTGCAGAAGTCAATTGCTTTCTGATGCTTGCACGATGAACCATTAGGAAAAAGGACTGACCGCAGACGTCCCACATATAATATAAAGAGCTTTTATAAATCATTAATGAAAATAGCAGCGCTCCCTTGGAAAACGGGGGAAAAATGAGCTGGAAATATGAAAGCAAGAACGATAGGTAGCTAGAAACTTTTGAAAAGATGTTCACTCTCACAAGTAGTTCAATACAAGTGTGTAGACAAAAGAGAGAATTTTTTCACCTTACAGGGTGGTAGAGAGTAGGGGAGTGACAACAGCCAGTGGAAGTGTGGGTTGGAATAGCCATACTGGAAGTCCTCCAGGCGTATTATAAAAAAGAGAGAGGGAGATGGGGCGCCTGGGTGGCTCAGCCGGTTGAGCGTCCGACTTCAGCTCAGGTCATGATCTTGCGATCTGTGAGTTCGAGCCCCGCATCGGGCTCTGTGCTGACGGCTCAGAGCCTGGAGCCTGCTTCGGATTCTGTGTCTCTCTCTCTCTCTGCCCCTCCCCTGCTCATGCTCTGTCTCTCTCTGTTAAAAATAAATTAAAAAAAAAAAGAGAGAGGGAGAGAAAATCTCTTAAATGCACATACCTTTTGGCTGGGATCTACAGTTTCCCTAAGGAAATAATCGCACAGTGTTTACAAAGATGTATGGATAAGGATGTTTCTCTTCGCTTGTTTATGATTACGGAACGTTGACCACAACCAACAATTATTAAGGGTTGGTTATTAAGGAACGGACAAAATAAAAGGCCACATAGTGAAGCACTGGATATCTAGTAAAAATGACGTTCCGTAGTGTCTGACGTGGAAAGATGTCCCGTATCTTAATTGAAAAAAAAAAAAGAAAGAGAGAGGTCTATCATGTTCTATGTTTTGTTTTTAGATAATTACATAGTACACTTTTTTTTTAAAATTTTTTAACGTTTATTTGTTTTTGAGACAGAGACACAGCACGAACGGGGGAGGGTCAGAGAGAGAGGGAGACACAGAATCTGAAACAGGCTCCAGGCTCTGAGCTGTCAGCACAGAGCCCGACGTGGGGCTCGAACTCACGGACCGCGAGATCATGACCTGAGCAGAAGTCGGACACTTAACCGACTGAGCCACCCAGGCGCCCCCATAGCTACGCTTTTTAAAAACATGTTTATTTGGGGAGGAAGGGAGAGCTCGCACGTGTGAGCGGCGGAGGGAGAGGATCCCACGTGGGCTCCGCACTGTCAGCACAGAGCCCGACTCGGGGCTCGATCCCACGAACCATGAGATCATGACTTGAGCCGAAAGCAAGAGTTGGATGCTCAACCAACTCAGCCACCGGGTGCCCATATAGCTACACTTTTTGATACAGCAACGACTCACTACATGTCGCTCTTGAAATTTCAACTAGTGAAACTTAAACAAAGTTAAGTTCAGGCCCTCCGTTTGCCCTGGCCTTACCTTGAGCTCTCGGTGGCCATCTGTGGCCAGCGGCCCCCGTATCAGAGAGCGGCTGTGTACAACGTTTCTGTCATCAGCCAGGAAGTCGCGGAGAATTCTGGGAGACCAGCAACCAAATGTGAACGGCAACCGTTTGGGGATAGTCAGGTTGCAGATAATCTTTATACTGATGGTGATTTGTATCTCTTTGTACAGTCAAAAAAAACACCGTTTCAAAAAGTTAATGGAGCTTGTTTAAAAATTCTTTGTCTTTCCTGCAGCGAGTTGAATGCCAAGTCGAAGGAGCTGTACTTGGAGATTTCAGAGGAAGAACAATCATCAGGAGGTGGGTGTCGAGCAGGTAGATGGAGGCCCTGCTCTCCGGGGGGGTTGGTCCAGCCGCCTTGACGGGGACCCGGAGAAGCTGGGAGGCGCGGGCGGGAGACCCCACAGAGCATGCTGGAGTTCTGAAGGCAATGTTGGCTCAAAAGTCCATTTCAGTTTTTGACAAGGTCATACATTTTTTTTTTAATGTTTATTTTTTTGAGAGAGAGAGAGAGAGAGACAGAGCATGAGCAGGGGAGGGGCAGAGAGAGAGGGAGACACAGAATCCGAAGCAGGCTCCAGGCTCCGAGCTGTCAGCCCAGAGCCCGATGCAGGGCTCGAACCCACGAACCGTGAGATCATGACCTGAGCCGAAGTCGGACGCTTAACCGACTGAGCCACCTGGGGCCCCCAAGGTCATACATTTTGGAAGAGAATATACTCAGCTGGTTTTTACCTTTCTTTCTTTCTCTCTCTCTCTTTTTTAAAACATATCTAAAATTTTTTATTCAGTAATTCTTGGTTTAGAGATGCACTTCTCAATCTTCTTAGCCTTAATTGACCCGTTTTGTTTTGTTTCAACTTGTGGTAAAACGCTTGTGACATGCAAATGACCATCTTAACCATTTCTGAGGGTAACATTCAGTGCTATTAAGTACATGCCTACTCTGTGCAACCCTCACCGCTGTCCATCTCCAGAACTTCTCCATTTTCCCAAGCCGAGACTGTGTCCCCCTGAGACAACTCCCTGTCCCCTCCTCCCCCCAGCCCCTGGCGCCCTCCCCCGCCATTCTACTCTCTGTCTCTGTGGATTTCAACCTGCTCTTCCTTGTAAAATAAGCCACAGCTGCTTGTACTGGGCACATGCTTTAGAGATGAGAAAGCCACAATTAAAGGTAGAAATCACAACAGTGAGCTCGGACCGGTGTGAGTGCACATGTGCTTGAGTCAGGAGTATCAATATTTATCAGGTTTCTAAAGATGCCCTTAGACTTACCAAACTCGGAGAGGGGGACCCTCTCCTGGCTTCTCGTGCCACAAACCCGGGCCGTTTGGATGTCTCCTAAAGTTACCAAGACCCAGGAAAAAGCAATTTAAGCTTCTATGTATGAGCAAGAATTCGGAGCCCATTTCCCGGATTCTGCCGTCTTGGGGGGAGGCAGTGAGGCGCTCCCGACGTGCCAAGGGCAGGCGTGTGGTTTGACCCCAGACTGGGCAGGTGTTCGCCCATGGAGAAGCCCCTCCGAATCCACCCCTGACGCACGGCTTGTTTGCTCCGCTGGCGGTTCAGTCCTGTCCAGCCTCGCGGGGTCTACGAAATTCCATGTGAAAAACACAAAACAGAACGAAGAACAACCATATAACCTTTACTCACACCCACATGCTTTTGACATGTTGCCCCGTCGCCTCTGTTACCTGTGCTCGCGCTGGGTGGCGGCTCTCGGTTTTGCACACGCTGTTTCTGCACGCGCACACACACGCACGCGCGGGCCCTTCACACCCCCTCTCCTTGGCGTGTCCTTCCTGAGAATGAGGATGTTCTCCTGACGGCTGCTGCCCAGCTCTCGGCTTCCTGGATCTGCATCGGTGGGTCTGCATCCCAGCCTTGCAGGTCGGGCGTCCTGGCCCTCAGGGCTGTCACTCTCGACTCCCGCACAGGCTTTTCCTCCTGCGGTGGTCTGGAGCGGCGCCTCGGGGACTCGTCCTGGGTGTGGTGGCTTCCGTGGCACCCCGTGGAGGCACGCCCACGGTGTTCCTTACTTGTGTCCTGTTTCCCCAGCTCTGTCGGCGGTGACGACCATTCCCTTAGATTTATTCAAGAAGCAGCCTGCGGGGCCACAGAGCTTTACGCTGACCAGCGGCCCCTCCTTCGGCAGCTCGGTGCTGGGTTCGGTCACCGCAGAGGTACGACGACATTGCCCGCCGTGGCCGCGCTCCGGCTTGAGCCGCTCGAGACCCACTTGAGATAAGGAACGTCTTCACCCGCCAGGCTCCCTCTTGCCCGAAGCAGGACGCTCTCCCGAGAGCCCGTTGCGCGCTGTGCGTTTCCAGACTCGGACGGGCCACGTCCCGCCCACGGTCGCGTCGAGTCGCCTGCCACGTGGGGAGCGGTCCACGACGCCGTGTCACGTGGGCCGGCCCCGGAAAGGGCCACTTGGTTGCATTGGGTTCTCCAGCCTCTGTTGCGTCGTTCCATGGCGAGTGGGTGGGTTTGAGCGCGGGTCTTACCGCCTTCTGTCCATTGTGGGGAACCCCGGGTCAATCGTCAGACGGTTCCGAGACTAGGTGACATTCATCGAAGAAGGCAGAGGTTATGGCAGAGGAAGGCGGCCCCCCGCCCCCGTCCAGGCGCCGGGCCGGGTGCCGTATGGAGCGCGTAACCAGCTTTCTCTGCAGTTCTCTTACGTAGAGCCCGGCGAAGCGAAATCCTGGCAGACCGCTCCGCCCGCTCCTGCCGCGAAGGTGGAAAAAGACCGCATGGTGATGCCCTGTGGGACCGTGGTCACTACTGTCACTGCCGTGAAAACCAAGCCGCGTGTCGACACGGGGAGGGCGTCCCCGCTGAGCTCGGGTGAGAATGAAGAGTAAGCCCCCGGCCTGGAGTCATGCTGCCCCACGGGTGCCGTGGCCCCTGGCCAGCAGGGTGCCGCAGGGAGCGAGGTTAAGACACTCCCGTGGCACAGAAGGAGCGGGAACCGGCAGGGCTTCTGCTTAGCTTTTTTGTCTTTAAGTTTATCCATTTATTTTTTGAGAGAGAGAGCGAGCGTGCATGCATGTGAGAGAGGCAGAGAGAGAGGGGGAGAGAGTCCCAAGCAGGCTCTGTGCTGACAGCTCGGAGCCTGGAGCCCGCTTCGGATTCCGTGTCTCCCCCTCTCTGCCCCTCCCCTGCTCGCACTCTGTCTCTCCCTCTCTTTGTCTCAAAAATAGAATAAATAAACATTACAAATAAAAAAAAAGTAGGCTCCATGTTGTCAGCACAGAGCCCGACACGGGGCTTGAACTCACGAACCGTGAGATCACGACCTGAGCCGAAACCGAGAGTCGGATGCTTAACCAACTGAGCCACCCAGGCGCCCCGAAAATCATTTTTTCGCAGGCTTGATGTGCCATCATTTTAGATCCAGCTGGATCCTGCACCGGTCCCCTCAGCCTCCGCCGTAGGGACAACTTCTGTATACTTGGGTCACTAAATTTTATTCGGGCTGTACGTCTGTTCACACAGATGTGTTATCTTCCCAGAATAGGTTGCCTGGCCCCATTCGTGAATACAAACAGAATGGGAAATTCTGGCTTAATTTCTGAAATTGTACTGAAACCTGGGTTCTCCCTCCCCCCCCCCCCCCCCCCCCACCCTGCCCAAAAAAGAATGAGATCGTGCAACGATCTGAAGGTTTGCCCTGGCCGTTTCCAACCGCCCGGACGGCGTTGGCGCGAGAGATGTGATTTCACTTTCCGGAAACCGTAGGTTCAGACGGCTTTGGGGGCCCTCTTATGACCAGAATGTTCCTCTGGCAGAGTCTCCCCTGAAGACACCTGTCAAGGTGAAGGTCATTGAGAAGGACATCTCTGTCCAAGCCGTCTCCTGTCACGGCGCCCCTGTCAGTAAGACGTTCTCTTCTTCGGACACAGGTAACGGGCGTGCTCACCGCCTTTTCCTTCCTCCTGGCCTCTTCCCTCACGCCTTTCGCATCTGCCCCGAGGTCAGCATTTCCTTTTCAGAGTTTGGGAGGAGCTTTTTCCAGTAAAAGGAGAAAAACTAGGAGAAAGCGGAAAGGGAAGCCAGCCAGAGACCGGGAGTGGCATTTAGTTTTAGCAGGTGCTTTAACAAAATAAACGTAAAAACCCGGTTTATAAAACTTTCCAGCATTATGTGTCTGTTGCCCCGTGGGCCAGTGCTGTGAACATCATAAAATAAGCAGGGCTCAGGGGCGAAAGCCTAAAGGCGGCTTTGTTTCTGTCTCCCGCTGTCCCCGAAAAGCTGTTTGTTAGGAGTGGTTTCCCCCAGACCCCTGCCTGCAAATTTCCCATTTTTATGGTCACTTTCAGGTAATCGGCGTCTTTGGAGAGGTGGGTTTCACCGTCTCCCTAGATCAAAGCGCGATCTAACTCTGGGGATGAGGCTTTCTCCCTTGGCTCGGGTGTGACCTGCCATCAGAGAAGGGGCAGGTGGGCACCTGTCCCCATTCCCTGAGTCCTGTGTCTGATCTTGCCGAGGTCAAGGAGGGGACAGGGAGGAGGGGACAGGGGCAGGGAGCTCTTCGTATTCCCTCAGCCCCGTCCCTGTTTCCGTGGTTCTCTGCAAACCGCTGGGTTCCCCCAATGCAGCTTCCTAGACGCACGCAGTGTCCCTGCCGTGCTGGCTGCTCCTGACGACCCCTTCCCTGCCCCTGGCAGTGTGCTCCAGGGACCGCAGGGACACCTTCACCTGCACGGGGATCCCTTTTTTTAAAGGAGCCCGGGCTGACGTTTCCATGGTGGGCTCCCCATCTGGTGCACGGGCCGTGGGGCCGGCCCCGAGGTCAGCTCCCTGTGCCGCAGGTGCCCGAGTAACTTTGTCAGGCGCCGCTGGCACTTTGATGGGACTTCGGAGGACAGCTCAGAACCTCCGGGCTTGGCGTGGGGTGTTGGGCGGGACAGTGAAGCTCTCTCCTGGGGTGGGGTGGGGGGGATCCTCGCCCCACCCCTTCTTGTCACCCTCTCCCTTCTCACTGTGGGTCTGTAGCCAGGCCGCTCTTGGCCTCGTTGGCCCTTTGCTTCTTCCTCTGGAATTGTCCTCGGGCCACAGCCAAAACTGAGGTGGCAGGTGTTCCTGTGAACACGTTCCTGCCCCTTTAATGGCCTCGTTCGACTCTAGCGTCAGGGGAGCTACTTCAGTCAGGTTACCCGTTCCGGCTTTGAGCCCGAGACCTGCTGAGCCTCTCGGTTCTGCCGCCTCCCTGGCTCCCTGACTGTCCCCCGCGTCTCCAGTGGGGACAAAAAAGGCACCTGGCTCTTGGGGTTTGCGGGATGGCTGTGCGAAACAATGTGCAAGGAGCCCTTTGTACCGCACCTGCTAGGTGCTAAGCATCCCACAGACAACGGCCGGCGGTGGGGTTGGTAGGAACCACGGGACGGAGCTGCCTTGGCCAACTGGCTCACGTGAATGCTAGGTGCTGAGTCCCTCGGGAGGGAAAAGGGGCAGCCTCATTGCCTTCCGGAGTTCAGATCTTCCTCAAGGTTAGAGGTGTTTTTGTTTGTCAGCCTACCTGCTTGTTTCTCGTCAACCCTGCGGAGGTATGACCGGCGTGTAAGAAAACGCAGGGATCTGAGTAAGCGTGCGTCAGCGAGTACGTGGAACCTTCCAGAAGCAGCCGTGGACCGAGGGTGGTCTGTGAGCCAAATCTGGCCCTGGTTCTGCTCATAAATTGCCTCAGAGCCCAGCCTGGCAGGGCTCTGGCTGCCTTCACCCTACAGAGGCAGCGGTGAGTGGCCGGGGCCCGGTGACCCGCCGGCCCACAAACCTTAAACCATTTAGGCTCCGGCCCCTTCCAGAAGGTATCTGCCGACCTCTGCCTGGGGACCATTTCCATCAGGGCTGGCAGTCTCCAGGGGGCGTGTGCGCACATGCTCAGTGCTGCCTCCCCTCCCGCAGAGCTCCTGGTTCTGAATGGCTCGGACCCCGTGGCAGAAGTCGCCATCCGCCAGCTCAGCGAGTCTTCGAAGCTGAGGGTCAAGTCTCCGCGGAAGAAAAGCACCATCATCATATCAGGGATCTCCAAGGTGCGGCCATGCGCTGGCGGGGGGCGGGGGGGCGGATTGCGTCTGTCGGCGGGCTGGCTTCCTCCTTGGGGAAGGTAGCCTGAGCTCTTGACGACGTCCGGAAAGTTCCGTGCAAATGGCAGGTTCTCTTCCTGACCCAGCGAGCGGGTCGTTCACGGCATCGTGTGGATGCAGCTTGTCCCGTTGATGAGGCAGCTCGAAGGTCTCTGGCCGGGGGCGGGGGGGGGGGGGGCGCCCTTTGGGACCGAGCCTCTGCCCTCTCGCTGGTCGATGACGGGGAGCGTCCACTTCCCACGTCGCACGCCTCCAAACCATTGAAGTTTCTTCGCAGCGAGTGTTTGTGCCTTTTGCAACCAGAGAGACGTGCAGATTGTCTAAAACATACGCCGGTCTCCACTCCCTCCCTTCTCCTGCCCTGCTGGGTGTCAGAGGGGCCGGCCCCTCGGGACAGGGAGCCACGCTTCAGCCCCGTACTCGTGTTTGACATCTCAGATGGGCCAGGAAAACGTGTGCCACGGAGGGGCGTTTGGGAGACCAGGCAGTCATGGGGGACGAGGAAGACGACGTTCTGAACGCGGAGGGGGGTGCTCGGAGGCCGTGAGCGTGGCGGGTCTAGAAGTCGTGCTGCAGTGGGTCGTGGCAGGTGCCAGAGGTGCGTCACCAGTGTTGCCATTGTACTCGGGGCCTCGGTGGCTGGTGCTCAGGTACCAGCTGCCACGCCTGCCGGGCAGCCTTGACACCGCCCCCCGAGGCCCCAGGCCCCGGGTGGGGGCCTCTCTGGGCTTCCTGAGTGCACTTCCGGCCTCAGCCAGCAGGGGGCGACGGCGTCCCCAGAAGGGCCAAGGCCCAAAGGCTGCGTTCTCCTGAGTCCGGGCCAGATGTGAGGGACCCACGGGGTCTCCTGACCCTGTCTTCTATGCTTTCTGTGGCTCTTTAGGAGCCCAAGGGTCTGCACGTTTAACATATCCAACCCCTGCAGTTATGATTTTTTACGGATGCTCAGGTTGTCCCGTCTTGAGCCAGTGGGCACGCCGCAAGCCGGTGGAGTGTGGGCATCCGACAGCGGCCCGCCCCAGGCCCCTCGCAACCGCCTTCCCGCCCTGCAGCCACCCAGCCCCGCGGCTGAGAGGAGCACCCCGGATTCTCAGGCTACGACATGTCTGCTGAGCAATTTCTGCCGGCAGAAAACAAAATCCTGTAGGATAAGTGTGAAAAGACAGAATCCGTGGCCCACGTCCCGTGACCCCCCCCCCTCCAGCAGGCTGTCCGCCTCGTACAAGGAAGTGCTCTTCCTCCCGCAGGCGGAGAAGGGTGTCTGCTTCCTCGATGCCCCTCCACGTGTGAAGGGCCCCTGGCACCAGGGGCCCCGACCCTCTGCTGTGAGCGGAGACCCATAGTCACCGCACTTCAGTCCCTTGGAAACCCAGTTGCCGCCCCCTTGGAAGACAAGCCGCGGGCGACTTCTGACTCTTTGGAATCACCCCCAGCATGTTTGGACAGAGGTTTCCGGGCTTTTCCGTGCCGGCCCTCCTTCCGTGTGTCCTTGCCGTCGTCCCTCATGCTGGCTTTTTTCTCTTGTCCCGGGACAGACCTCGCTATCTCAGGACAATGCCGCTGCCCTCATGCTGGACTACGCGGCCTCCGTGGACGGCACCCCCCAGGAGGACCCCCCGTCCCTTCCGGGGGCGGCCGCTGTCTCTGCCCCGCAGGAGGAAGAGGCCCCGGCCCCGCCGGCCCCGGAGCCCCCGGAGCGCGAGCTAGGCTCCTGGGACTTGGACCAGGAGTCACAGGCCCCGGCGTGGGACAGCCAGGCCCCGCTGGACCCCGATGGGGACGAGCTGTCGGAGAGCTCCCTGAGTGTCTCAGAGCCGGATGCTGCCAAGAAGCATAAAGGTACCTGCGCCCACCCCCCCCCCCCCCCCCCCGCCGCCCGCCCCACCCGACGGCTGATCTCTCCTGCCAGTTTCTGAGCTGACTTTCGGTTCCCATCACCTGCTTCCCTTCCCTTGCGCAAACCCACCCCCTCCTCAGCACCCCACCCCAGCGAGCACCCCCGTGCGGGAGGTTGGGGCCCGACTAGAGCCTCTGGGCAGGGGCCACATTGAGAATCCTTCCATCTCTCCGCATTGGGGGGTTGGGGGGAACAGCTTGTGGTCATGCCTAGAGGCCCCCTTCCTCTCTCTCTGCCCCCCACCCCCACCCAGTAGAACTATCTAGAGCATTTAGAGGGGGTCATATCCCACAGTGGGGCCAAAGAGACTCCACACGTAGCCGCCAGAGACCCGGCTTCCCTCGGCTGTGCAGATGCGCACCTGTTCATTGTGTCTCAATCTCTTCCCTTCGCTAAAACCAGGGCAGACCCCACCACTCGGACCTGCTAGGGCCCAGGGCGAGAGGAATACCCCAGAAACTGGGGTCAGTTTTAAGTTGACGACCATCAACTTAACGTGTGTGTAGGGCCGAGGAATCACATCATTAGAATAATCCGTTGTTTTCCATTAGCCCTAAATCGGGGCTTTAACTTGTACATTTCTTCAGTGTGCTCAGTTGTACTTAGCGCTTCGGCACGATGGTGACGTAAAGGTTCCTTCTGAGCGAACGCAGTCTGGGGGCTTGAGGTCCGTTCTCCACGGGAGGCGTCACGCCTCCTGCGCTCAGCTTCTCCTCGGCGCACGAGGGTGGGCCCACCTCCCAGGCAGTGGTAAGGGGCCCCCGGTGCAGAGACAGGATGGGAGCAGGTGCCCGATCCAAGCTGGGAGTCTTGGGTGCACCTCAGCGCCAAGTCCTGCCCCGCTGAGAACGCAGACGTCCCAGTCACTCCTGAGGTCGGGGACCCTGGTGAGCTGCTCCGTGGCTGTCTCCCACTGCCCCCGCCCCCCCACCCCGTTCTTGCTGCCGGGACCGGTGGTTCTCAGACCCGGCGGTTGTGCCCCCACTCAGGGGACACCGGCAAGCGTCCCGAGACAGCTGGGGGTGGGGTGCTGCAGGCAGCGGGCGGGGTGCAGCCCGGAGCCCCGTGGGGTGCAGGATGGGCCGCCTCGTGGTGGTGCGTGGCCCTGTGTCCGTGCTGTCGGGGCTGAGAACCCGGCTGGAGGCCTCTGCGTTCATCCCCACCCACTCCCTCCCGTCTGCTTCTCGTGCGTCCCCACGAGGCCCCTGCTTGCCGAAGCAGGGTGGGCACACGTGGGGAGCGGCTGGAAGCCAGGAGAAGGAAAGAGGGAAGGAGGACAGGATTTCTAAGCCACGGGATGAAGATCGGACCCCAGGCCGCTAAGTGCCCCCTGCGCTGAGCCTGGGTAACCTGTGCGTTGCCCTCTGGTGGCTCCCTCGCTCCTGTTCAGAAGGCGCAGGCCAGGTTCCGGGCTGTCGGTCTGCCAGGCGCATACACACCCCTCTGGCCTGCCCTTGGGGCCAGCATGGCCCGAGGGAGCCCCCCTGGACCGGAGGAAGGCCGCGAGTGTTGGGTGGGGTAGCAAAGGGGGTGCAGGGTGGGGCGCCCCTTCCTCTCCCTTCCTTCTCCCGGTGGCCAGCAGTCTGCTGCCTGTTCTCACGGAGCCCCAACCTCCCAGCCTGCCCTCCTGCCCTCCCGCGTCAACCCCGGCAGCCGCGCCTCGCCGACCACCCTACCCTCACCCGTCGCTTCCTCCTTCCTCTGCTTTTCCCTCCAGAAGGTTCTTTCCCATGGGATCCCTTCCATGGCCGCCCTTCTCCTTGCCCGCCACTGGCCAGGTTGATGGCACCCCTCAAGAAGGGCACTCTTGGGGACCTAAGTGCCAGCGACTTGGACACAGCATCTCTGTGAGACGTTGGACAGTTATGTGTTAACAGATGCCAAATAGCTTTTGTGTTGCACCGGTTTTCAACACTGGGGATCCAGGGAGTGGCTCTGTGGGGTTTCCTCTCGTTTCTACATTAAATAACTGAAGGTTAGTTTCTGGCCCAAGAACCACCTGTGTGGGTTTGCACAGATTTCCAAGACCTGCCAGCATATTTAGAGTTCTGGAACCCTGCGGGTTGGAAATGTCCATCTTGTGAGGTCGCAGCCAGTTTATCCCCACGCGTGGGCTTGTTTCTAGCTTAACGGTGTCGATGTGGCCGTGCTGCACGATGTGAATTTACTTAACGTGGCCGCGTGTTTAGAGACGGTCAAGACGGCAAAGGTTACGCCGTGTGTATTCCCCCATGAGTAGGAACCAAAGTATCGATGGAGACTTTGACAAGTAAATATTAAAAAGTAAAAAAAGAAAAAAAAAAAAAGCAATCCGAGCCCCCAGACTCTTGCCAGACGTCCTTCCCGGTCACTTCACGCGCACGTGGGGCATGGCGCTTTGGAACTCACTGTCTGTCATTCTTGTTTTGCTCCCGTGCGCTTTTCTTTTGACCTCTGACCTCTTCCTTCTCGTCACCTCGCGCTCATTCCCTCTAACTTAAGAGGATCGCTATGCCAACCAGAATTGATTGCCTACACAGTAAGTGACTTTTGTCTTATATACGTATTTTTAAATTAGGTGCGGTTTCACCACGAGAGTAGCATATTTTGTAACAGCAGGAAGCTGACCCCCTCCCCCTTCCCTTCCCTTCCTTTTTATTTTCCTGTCCCTCTCCAGTGTGTGTTCGCAGTTGCCTCCGTAGACGTGGCCTGGTTGGGTTGGTACAGCACTTTACGCGGGTGGGGCGCGGGCGCTGTGCGCCTAGATGGGGGGCATGCAGCCTCGCTCGCTGTGATTTGCATACGCCCCTTCCCTTAGCGGAGCTCTGGTTCTAACAAGCAGTCGCTTATAAACCGACTATGTGGGGTTTAGCTCGAACTCAGAAGCTGTTCTTTGGGCAGCAGACCACAACGTGTACGGTGGCTTTTGGTCATCGCTGTCCTACGTAGGAGATTTTGAGACGGGTTCTTCGCGGAGCTATTTGTGCCTGTTAGGGTCTGTGCATACAGACAGGCATAGATTTGCAAACATTTGCTCTAGCAAAGCTATAATTTAGAATAATCATTTTCAAATTTCTTCCTATGTACTTTTCAGTGTTTTTGTGATTTTTTTTTTTTTTAACCTTGTTAGAACCAGGGAAAGATTTTTCTCCCCTCTGCCCCCCCTTTAAGGGTTCGGCTATTCGTTTCACATTGCACATCTTCTCTCCAGATTTTGTCCTTAAGGGATCTTTAAAGCGTGGGTGAGGTCTGAGTCTTGCCTCCTGACTGCTGGTGTGGCTGAGCTAATCTGGAAAAAAGGGGCTTATGAAATCCAGACTTCTCCAGTTCCTCTGGCCTGGGCACTGTGAGCTTCCCCATCAGCAAAGGGGACGGGTTCTGGGGGCCCAGAGGCAAGCATCACGCACCAAACTTTTAGTTACTGTCTTAGCCAGAGTTCTCTAGAGGAACGGCACCAATCAGTTCTCCATTTCAAGGAACTGGCTCACGCGATTATGGGCTCTGACAGTCTGAAATCTGTGGGCGGGGCCGGCGGGCAGGGGACCGTCCCTTCTTCTCCCAGAGCCCTTCGGGGTTGGCTCCTAAGGCATTCAGTTGATTGGAGGAGGCCCGTCCACATCATCCGGGGTAATGTGCTTTAGTCCGGGATAGCTGAATGCAGGTGTTACCCCCACATCTGCCGAGTGCATTCACCTAACAGATGAGGGTCTGACTGAATCCCTGGGCACGCTGGCCACCTTGACACAGAAGACACAGCCACACGGCCGTGGTGAGGTGAAGGAGCTCCAGACGGCGTGACTTCTCAGCTGACGGGAGAGTCCGGTGCCCCTCGCGCCACCGCGGAGTGCGGGAGTCCGTGCCACACGCGTGGCCTTGTTCCTCGGTCATTATTTACCCCGAGGGTAACTGTGATGTGTGCCCGAGGCTCAACAGGCTTTGACGTTTTTATTTGGAAATGCAGAGGAGATGATCTCCACTCGCTTTGGCTACTCCTCACGTTTGAGGAGTTAAACCGTGGATCTGGAGACGGCCGTGTGTCCGTAACACGCCCTGCCCGACACACGCTACCAGCACGCCTCTCGGGATCTATGTGGTTCCGGAAAGCCTGCCCACGCCCGCGTTGGAGCGCAGGGCTGTGCTCTGTGATGCCTCTGGGAGCTGAGACTTATCTCACTCTCTGGAGGCCCCCCTGGTGACCGCCACGGATGCGCCCTCTACCAAACACCTGCTGGCCACTGCTGGGCGGTGTGACCCTCCCCCCCCCCCCCCCCCCCGGCCAGCTCAGACACCGTCCTTAGGAGCACAGAGGAGCCGGGTGTGAGAACACAGGCTTTCTGCACTGGGGCCCACTTAGTGGGGCAGAGCACGTCACTGCTGGGGAGGAGATCTCTCTCAGAGGTCTCTGGGAGACAGAAGCGGGGCTCCAGCCTATAGATCTGCAAACCTCAGTCCCTCCTTTCACATGACCCTTCCATCCAAGCAGGAGGTATTGTCCCCATAAAGCCGTGACAAGTCCTATCAAGTTAGAGAAGACAGGTTTGGTGAGACCCCCAAGTGACTTTACCAGGGGACCCAGGACATCATCGGTTCTGGTATTGATTTGGAACAGTCCTACTTAACAAAACAGCAGCCCTGTTCTGAGAGCTTGCCTGGGGCCCGGAAGGACAGAAAACACCCCACGACGGGCCCCGTCTGTGGGACGCACGGGAGCAGACCTTCGCTTGTGGGACAGACCATGGCTGGCAGGACCGTTCAAAGTGACTACGGCACACAGATCTTTCTGCTTTTCCAGTTTTATTCACAGGTTGGGGGTCCTTGATATGCCATCGTGATACGGCAAGAATTCGAATTTTAGTTATGTCAAGTGCGATTTCATTGAAACGACTTAGAGGGGTTGCTTGACAACGTGCCGATTCCCTTTTGAGGGAATCTGAACACCTACCTCTTGCCTCTCCCCGCGCTCAGGTTTCCCTCGGAATCTGGTGCAAACCCACGCTTCTCGAGCACCAGACGCTGTGCCCCGCAGGGCGGGCTGGCCTCTTGCGATCCACACAGCCTTGTGCTCAGCAATGGACAGTCCCCCCAGCTCTGGAGGCCAGAAGCCCCAGGTCGAGGCGTGGGCAGGGCTGGTGGCTCCTGTGGGCCAGGATGCTCTCGCCAGGCCTCTGGGGTTTGGCAGTGTCTCTGGCCTTCCTTGGCTTATCGAAGCGTCACCCCATCCCTGCCTCCACCTGGCACGCTCCCTGTGGGCGTGCCTGTCCGCATCTCTTCTTTCTGTAGGGGCACGGCCACGCTGGTGTAGTACTTGCCTTGACGCCCTGTGGATTAATCACCTCTGTAAGGACCCCGTCTGTAAGATAAGGCCACGTTCTGAGGTGCTGGGGATTAGGACCCCAACGCAGGAATTTTGGAGGGACGCGACCCCACCCATGACGGCACCCCTGCTCACACCTCAGACCCTGGCTCCAGACCCCAGACCAAATTCCAGTGTGGGGACACCTAGGACGGGCTTCGGAGACGGGGCCCTCCAGGACAGCACCTGTTACTGCTGGCCTCCAGCTGACCCGGGGATGGGGCCAGCCTGCCCCCCTCGGGCTTCCGTTCCCCTGGGGAGACCGGGGGCTGTGGGGTCAGAGCACTCTAAGTTAACAGAACGGATCCCGCCTTCCCCTCCTCCGTTCCAGGTGAGAGCCCACATTAATATGCCCTTCAGGGGCCCCACGCTTAACCTAAAGCAGGTCCCCATGTCAGAAACACTTCCTCGGCCCCTGCGACCCGCCGGCTGGAGCCTGTCACCATGCCGGGGTAATTAATCAGCAGGCACCAGTGTAATGCCCCCCGCTGGCCAAAGTCCAGTCCAGTTGGTGGCCGCGGTTGGTGCAATAACACGCCCTAACTGGTGACTTCTCGCGATACGCTGCATGCTTAGGGGGACTTGAACAGCTCTGGGAACGGACCTTCGTGGTCCCCAGATGCGGCACCTCAGGCTCGCGGCAGGAGTGAAGCCGCTCACACGTCTGTACTTCCCTTCCCGTGGTCCAGGAGACCCCCGCACGCAGCCTCTCCGCCTTAGACAGTTGTAGAAACGTCCCCATGATTCTTCCCAATAGGCCGTTTGACTATATCCAAAGAGAAAATGGAAAAAAAACCAAAAGATCTTTCCGGCAGCTCCGATCAGATGACATTCAGCCTACACCTCGGGGCTCTCGAGCCTTGTTCTGCGGCTGAGCCTGGGCAGAGCCAAGGGCAAGTTCTCCCTTGGCCCCAGACCCAATTAAGAGCCCTTAAAGTCACGGGCGTGCTGCTTTGTCCACAGACAGGGCGGGGCCAGACTCCACCGCCGTCCACACGCATTTGACGTGGGAGAGCCAGCAGGCGCCCTTCGTCCCCTCTGGACAGACGCCGGCGGCTTTGGTCTATGTCACGGCCACCGAAGCATCCGTGGGCTCGGTCAGGAAAATAGCCGGCTGCCAAAGAGCCACAAGGCTCCTCCTCCAGAAGCCCTCCACGCCTACACGTGTGCACACGCGAGGAGCGCCACAGGCTGGCCCGAAAGGCTCCCAGACCCTGCTGGGGGGGGGGGGCCCGGGCAGCAGCATGCTGGAGGGGGTTCGTGTAGTGGGTTCCGGGCCCCGTTGCTACGCGAGCTCGCCCTGGGTCTTTGAAGAGTCATCGCCGTTGCCGTTTTTGTGTTCCGTGTTCTGCTAGCTGACATCCTGCAGGCAGGTCGAGGCGCACCAAGTTGAGGGCTTGTGAGTCGGAAACAAGCCCGAAACAGACATTTCAAGACAGCCTGAGGCACGTAGGGTGGGGTCTGCAGTGAAACAACATCTCACTCCCTGAAAGAAGAGATCTTAACTCTCCTAAGACAGCGGATACCCTTGTTCTCAGAGACCGTTTTTGTGTTTTAATAGCGGGACCCTCTTTTCGGGGGCACATGGCACTTCTTCACCATTTACACCCTTCCTAATGCAGGAGGGTGAGTGGCCAGGGGACCCGAGGTAGGGACAGCTCAAAGCTGCAGGGGAGGGGCAGACAGAGAGAGGGAGAGGGAGAGGGAGAGAGGATCCCAAGCCGGCTCCGTGCTGTCAGCACAGAGCCCAGTGCGGGGCTCGAACTCACAGTCTGTGAGATCATGACCTGAGCCGGAATCCAGAGTCAGACGCTTCACCGACTGAGCCTCCCGGGCTCCCTTCCAGGTCTTTTCACCCTGAAAACTCTGACGTGTGGTCCGGGCCAGATTCCGGCCGTTTCCCTCCCGTGTGGATAGTGACAGCACACTGCTCATTAGAGTAGTTCGAACCGCCTTGGTTGTCTTTTCCACTTGGATTAGTGGCCCCGGCGTTTCCTCCTCAGCCCACCTGACCGCCCCCCTCTGCTTTCCTCTTCCAGGAGGGATTTTAAGGAAGGGCGCAAAGCTGTTCTTCCGCCGGCGACATCAACAGAAGGACCCTGGCATGAGCCAGTCGCACAACGACCTCGTGTTCCTGCAGCAGCCGGAGGGGGCCCGGAGGAAGGGGGCGACGCTCACCAGGATCCTCAACAAGAAGCTCCTCTCCAGGCACAGGAGCAAGAGCGCCATGAACGGGGCCCCGGCGGACCCCGCGGCCGGCGGCCTCCCCCACCAGGACGCGGGAAGACGCGTGCCCCCCTAAGCACCGCCGGGACGCAGCAAGGGAGCTGCAAGCTGTCAGCCGGCCGCCCCGCCCGGCCGGGTCGTACTGCCATCCTGTAAAGGGGGACGAAGATCTGCTCTCCAGCCAGGAGGCTTTCCCCAGAGAAAACCCCCCAAGTCAGATGCCACAGGGCTGCGCTCAGGTCAAAGAGCTGAAGTCAAACGTTAGGAGACTTGCATAATGGACTGGAGAACCTCCAATAATGGACGGTGACGGGGCCGGTGAGGGGGACTCCACCTCACCCACTCTGTGCTCCGACGCGTGTTATCTTGGGTCCGTGCCGGGACCGCGTCGCAAAGAGGAGGTGCCCCTCTGTGCTGTCACTGTGACTGGAACGGATGGGTCACCTGTCCTGACTGGCTGCTCAGAGTAACACAGTGCGGCTGGCCCCGGGTGCGGAGAGGTGGGACGGAGGCGGGATTGGGGGTCAGTAGAGACATCGTGGTGGTGATGGAGACACTGTGACAAAGGTAGGAGCATAGTTGCCTTTGATATTAGCCATATAACTTGAAAAGTTTGCAAACACTAGATCTCTCCTGTGCACCCCTGTGTTTCCTTCGCAAATGTGAGTTCCCACGTGGTCTTTCCAGTCTCCTCTGTGGTTTCAGAAGCGCTCAGGATTCCCATGGGGCCGTCAACTCCTGGCTTTTTTTCCCACTGCCCTGCTGGGGTACTTGCCACACGGGAGTGCAGGGAGGGGCCTCTGGAATGAAGTCGGGGCAGTAAGTGACCGCTAACGGAACACGGTGACCACCCACACCGGGTTTTTTTTTTTTTCTTTAGTCCAAGGTTTGTTTGCCAAATGTTGCCAATAGCTGAAACAAAGTACTTCTGGGACAAAAGAGAAAAATCATTCTAGGTCTCAGGTGCGAGGCTTAGGGATGGAAGTTAAGTTGAATAGTAACAAATGGGCCAAACTTGCCTCGCATGCTTCCGGGAGCTCTCCAGAATTCTGTGAACAGTGCTTGACGCGTGTTGGAGGGGATGCACGCCTGCTTTGATTTCCAGTGGGAAGAAAAGATCAGCGTGGCCCACGGTGTCCGTATCCCCGTGTGCCTTTCAGACCACGTTCCTCGCCCGTGTGTCTCTCCACAGGCCTGCACGCTGGCCTGTGCCTCCTGAATGCACGCTTCGCGGGGACGAGCTTGTTAGGGCCGTGGTCATCTGTGTGGAAGGCTTTGATGGTTCAGTAAGATTCACTTTGTTCCAATAAGATTTAAAAGGCCATTTATGAAGCCTTGACTTCTGTCACAGATAGGAAATTGGGGGGACTCCTTCCTACAAACATTTTTGTTTCTCCTGACACTGGTGTTTCAGGGGTAAGAGAGCTACTGACACACAGAAACCTCTTCGAAAACCAAAATTATAGAACTTCCCCCTCCCCCCCTTTTTCTCGAGGGAGAGAGATTGGAAGACTACGTTAAGAATTTTACTTAAAAATACGTATTTAAAATTTTTTTTCCGTGTCCCAGGAATTAATCAAGTGACTGTAAAATGGCTTTCTTCACCATATGCTGTTTTTAAAGACGATGTTCCGGTCCTCGGTTTTCTGTTTGATTTTGCAGTTCAGATCAACTCTATGCCACGCGATGGTCTCCGAGCTTTACACGGGAGCTTTCTCGCTCAAAACAAGAAAATGTCCCATTCCTGACTGACCCCACGAGGATTTTGTTCACCGTTTTAACTTTTAAGGGCTCTGCGTTTTCCACTTCCTGGTGACTTGAAGCCCCTCCCGGGTCGCGGGCAAGTGACAGGCGGGCTGCGTCTGTCCCGTGTGTGAAGCGGGGCCGTCACACAAAAGGGGGAGCGTGGCGTCCAGGAGATCCGTGTGTCCGTGCGGCACACAAGAGCCCCGTATAGTTGATCAAGGCCCAGAAGCCCCTCCTCAAGACACACTCACGTCTTCTCCAGCCGAGGGCTCTTCCTGAAGTCACAGAGGACAGGGACTTAGCAGGGAGTTTAAGAGAAAATAGGGGGCGGGAGCGTGCGTGAGGGTCGGGCGGTGGGAAAACGGGTCCTGTGGATACTGTGAACGCTTCTTCCGTGGCTGCTTATCCAGGCCTGCGCTTTCCCGCGTAGGGATTCATGCGAACGCGAACACTGAACTTAAACACCGATTAAGGTCACACACCGAGGACTACACATGAGTTTGTAAAGCCTTCCTCCCTTCCCTTGTGCGTTAGCGGCTGGAGGACTTTTTTGTTGGCCTCCGGGCTGTTTTGCAGACTGGCGTGTCCAAAGCGGTTTCTTCTGGACGCTAAGGTCTGAGTGGGGCACCTGTGCATCAGGAACGGGGTGCTCAACGTTGGTTCTGGCACGCCGGTGGCACTGCCCGGTCCGGGGCTGTGCCCGTGACCTTTGCAGAGGCACGCAGGGAAGCCTCGCGCGCGTGTGATTAGCGCAGTGAGAACAGAAGCAGCGATCGCATTGTCCCGGCTGAAAACCGGCTGTGAAGAAGGAGGTTTGGACAGAGCACTTGACGTAAACGGACCCTCCAGTTTAAGTTGGAGACCAGCCCTTGATTCCTGCTGGTGGCTACCTGGCCAGTCGCTGCCCGTCTAGATTTCTGATGGGTTTTGCCGGAGAGGCCTGGCACATTCTCTTCTGGAGCAGAAAGGGACAGATTAACTTCTGTCGCTGCCACCAGCTGGGGGGGGGGGGGTGGTTCCGCATAATAGTCTCGCATGTCACAGTCTCGAAGCCTCGCGGCACAAGCCGGCAGTCGCTGCAAGTCAGGACGTTTCTGCCGGGTGGGAAACGGGTCTCGCGCTGGTGTAGACCCGGATGCCAGGCCCCCGTCTCCACTGTCCCAAACCTGCTCAGGCCTGATTACCAAAGCATGTGGCACGGGCACACTCACACTGCCACTTCCTGCAGAGCACTCAGGTTCCCTCCGGGTCCCTTTCTTCAGCACTCCCGTTGGATGCGTGAGGAGGCGTCCGGAATGCGCCCCCCTGCCCAGTCCACCCCGCTCCCAGCTGGTCGGGAACGTACCGTTTGTGATTTGGGCTTGTGGTGTTTCACCCCAGTGTCCCATCAAAGCTAGAGTTTTCTTTTAAAACAAGAAAACACATGGTTTTCCAGGCACGTGGCCGGGTCTGGCTTGATGATTGAGCGTGGTGATGGTTCTGCCCGATGGCGATCGTATTCCGCAGTAGCACTTTAAAAACACGTCACTGGGGCGCCTGGGTGGCTCAGTTGGTTAAGCGGCCGACTTCGGCTCAGGTCATGATCTCGCGGTCCGTGAGTTCGAGCCCTGCGTCAGGCTCTGTGCTGACAGCTCAGAGCCTGGACCTGCTTCAGATTCTGTGTCTCCCTCTCTCTGACCCTCCCCCGTTCATGCTCTGTCTCTCTCTGTCTCAAAAATAAACGTTAAAAAAAAATAAATAATAAAAATAAAAATAAAAACACGTCACTGTCCTGCACCAAACCGCGGAAGGTGTGGCTGGAACACGAACGGTCTTTGAGAGAAATAAACATGCACATGGAACACTAACACCGAGTTGTGTTTGCTGCGCCCCGGGTCACGTTCCGTCGGGTGCTCGGCCGTCTGTGCGCACTCCCGTCGCGGTCAGCCGCGTGAAAGAAGACGTGGGCCCTTCGCTCGTCGCTGCCGCCCCTTGCTTTGCTCTTGGCCAGTTGTGGGTGCCACCCGTCAGGGTCGGCTCGGCCTGGGTCCTCCAGGGGCGGAAGCTGGCATATAGGACGCCCCGCAGCCTTCTGGGCGCAGTCTTGCATACATCCCTCGGCTCCTGTGGTCCTCGCTGCCCCAGCGGAGGCCCATCCGGGAGAGTGTGGGGCAGGCTCCTGCGTGGGGCTCAGAGTACGGATGGTGTCACACTGGCTTGAGGCCCGTGGTGGTTACCGGGTGGGGCGGGGGCCGGAGCCGGGCACAGACAGATGGACGGATCCCACACGAACCCTGCAGGCATCTGGGCTGCTTCCCCGCTGTGCCCAGGTGCTGCGGCATTTGGGAAACTGGTGCACAGACCCCGACCTTTTCTCAGGGTGGCCCTCCTGGATACGGAGTGGGGGCCCGGATGATTGATACCTCTGCCGTCGAGGGGGACAGTCTACCTGTGCAGAGCCCCAGCCGTCCCGGGGCTCGGATTCGGGTTCTCAGCCCTGCTCGTGGCGAGGTGGTGGCCACGTGTCTTGTTGGGGATGGAGGCGTCCGGGGGTCTGAGACCACGGCCCTTTCTGTGCTGACGCTGGACCAGATGTGCTTGCTGGAAGGCCAGCCTTGCCCTGACTTACCAGGTCACCTTGAGGCACACGCTGTATTCTTACCAATCCCGTCCACACTGCCCACATTAATCCACGTCAACCACCTGCAGGCTGTGAATGTGCACCCCTCGTCCCCAGCACGCACCCCTCCCTGCTCTAATGACCTAACCGAACACAAACCCCACCTGCTCCGCGAAGCAGCTTCGGCCACCAAGGAAGACGCAGAGCACGGGGCACCTCTTCCAAGTCCCTGTCACTTGACCCCAGATCACGGCCTCCTACGCTGGCTCCTGGGCGTATCCCCAGGGCTCAGGACAGCGCACCTAGGGAGCAAGGACCAGGGTCAGCAGCCAGCCCCATAGAAGCACATCTGGCAGGTTTGCTTACGTCCATCCTGCCCCCCTCATCCGGGCGCAGGGTCAGGGGACAGAGCCCGCCAAGGAGGGCACGGCTATGACAAAACCATGCCGTTGTGACCTTGGTCGCCTACCAGTACTGAGTGCCCGACATACGCATCAGCAAATGGTTCATAAAAAAAGAAAAGGCAAGCTGCTCACCACAGAGGCCCGGATACCAGGATGGGTGGCCTCGCACGGTGCCCGCGCTGAAGAGAACGCTGCCAGACCAGACCCCCTCCCCACGGCGCCCCAGAGGCACCAACTTCCACGCGCACAGCGCAGCCCACCCCGGCTCCGCACCACCCCTCCACGCCGTGAACCGTCCCGTCGTGTCCTGCGTGTGCCAAGCATTCAACCGCTGATATCAGCGTTTATCAAGTTGGATGCTGGGGTGCCTTGGGCTGCGTGGTATTTTACGCGGACGCGGGACAGAGACTCGGAATCACAATGGTGGTAAGTGTACTGACTGAGCACTTACTATGTGCCAGAGCTGGTTACTGAGTCTTAACACTCTTTGAGACAACCCTGTGAGTTATGACCTACCTCAGCTTTACAGATTAGGAAACCGAGGCACAGACAGGTTAAGTAACTTGCCCAAGACTCCACAGTGGATAAGTGGCAGAAAACAGAACGTGAGCCCAGGCTGTCCGGCTGGAGAGTCCCTGCTACCTCGTGTCAAAAGCAGAGACCAAGGACTTAGGGCCTGATGTCGGCTTTTTCTAAACTTTCAGCTCCCTGCGATGGGCGAGAGAACTATCAAATGACATCCAATGCTTTGCACACAGTGAGAATTAAGTCACTTGCTGATTAGATTGCTGTCTTTATCTGGAGAGCAACACTTAGCCAGACTGAAAAGCTAGAGGTAGTGTAGAGAAGTGACTTAGGATATTTATTTTTATGAAGTCTAGTATGAAGGGAGTCAACTAACAAAAACCAGGGCTGATGAGCCATGTTAGTTAGTCGACGTGGGAGGCAGCCAGTGTCTGGGCTGAGACCATCGGCCCGGGGCAGGGGTGGAGGCGGTGGGGGGGGGGGGCGCGGCCCCCGGGCCGGGGGGGGGGGGAGGGTGGGCGGAGTGACGACAGGGCATGGTGATTATGCCCTAGGAAAATCCACTCAGGGTAACGGAAACTCTATTGCTTACTTATTTTTAATTCCCCCGACTTATTTTGCAAAATTTCACACCTACAGAATAACCCACATAGCCTTCAACTAGATTCACCGACTTTGCTAAACTTGCTTTACCTACCTACCTATCATCTAGCGATCAACTGATCGAGTGCTGGAGACATCGTGTTCCGCCCTGACTTCTTCAGAGTGCATTTTCCAAGAAGGACGGCGTCTCCACATCACACACCCAGTAGCTGTCGTGCTTGGGAAACAGGACGCTGATGCAATACCACTATCCAGAGTCAGAGGCCACGAGCTGCCCAAGGAACATCTTCTACACGTGGTTTCTTTCTTTTTTTTTTTTTAGGCAAGGCTTCCGCATTGTTTTGTTCTTAAGAGTAAAATTTGAGGGGTGCCTGGGTGGCTCAGTTGGTTAAGTGTCTGACTCTTGATTTTGGCTCAGGTTGTGATCTCATGGTTTTGGGAGTTCGAGCCACATGTCAGGCTCTGAGCTGGTGGCACGGAGCCTGCTTGGGATCTTCTCCCTCCCCCTTTCCCTGCTCACTCATTCTCTCTCTCTCAAAATAACTAGACGTTTTAAAAAATAATAAAATTTGACACTTTCAGAAACAATGTTTTTTTTTTTTTAAGTTTTAAAAAAAAAAAAAAAACTTTAAAATTCTGGATACAGGGGCACCTGGGCGGCTCAGTCGGTTAAGTGTCAGACTTCAGCTCAGGTCAGGATCTCGCGGTTCCTGGGTTCGAGCCCCGCGTCGGGCTCTTGTGCTGACAGCTCAGAGCCTGGAGCCTGCTTCGGATTCTACGTTCTGCTCCCCTTTCTCTGCCCCTCCACCCCAAATCAATAAACACTAAAATAAACTTGGATATAAATCTGCCTTAAAAGGCAGCTTAATCCTTCCAACTTTCACGGAAGGAATATACTGAACCCGTTGGGAATTCTCTTGAAGATGCGACGACCACTGCAAATATCGATTCCACCCCTGTGCCGCACAAACCGACACGAGAAACGGCTTTAGACGGGGTCAGGTCTTCTGGTTGTACAGGTTTCCGCTCTGCTGTCCTACCCGTGTTTGATGTGCAGAGGCCTCGGCGGCCAGCCACCTGGGCATTCCAGAACTGTGAGGTCACTAGAGGGGCGGGGGGAGGGGAGGGGTGTGCGTTAGCTGCAGGCTGCAGGGGTCAGCAGGGTTCAGCAGGGACTGAACAGAGACCCGAATGCTGAAGAGACGGACGGTGGCGGAAAGTCCCCAGAGAGCTTTCCAAGGTAGAGGGAATATGTACAAAAGACCCTGAAGATGTGACTGAGGAACGGAGGGCTGGAGGGAGGTTGGGATTCCACAGCTGGGGCGGGTGTGAGCAGGGGAAGGGTGTGGAGGTGATGATCAAGAAACGTGTGGCAGGCTGAGGTTCAGCGTCACAGTACAAGCCATCAGGAAGCCACTGCAGATTGTCAGGGAGAGGCAGAGACAGAAGCTCGGGGCACCCGGGCCACACTCAGCTTGCTCCCTGGGCAGCGGCTCAGCCTTCTACCCTCCTGCCACACCGTTTCGATGGGCCCTCACTTATCACCAAGCTTGCACACATACCCGTTCATACAAGTGAGTCTAGCTGAGAACACATTTCTGCTCGTGGGACTGCCGTGCCGTAGGCTCTGTACATTTAGAATTTCCATATTAACCAAGGGCCCCCATGGGGGTTATACCAAATTATTCTCCCACCAGGAAAGGATGAGACAACTCCTTTTATACACTCTCTTCAAAATAATGCTATTAAGCTTTAAAAAAAGCTGAATCTGCTAATGTAACAGGTGAAAACGATTGTGCTCCACTTTGCTTTTTCTCCTGTAGCAGTAGAGTTGAAGAGCTTTGCTTAAGCTTAAGAGCCACTATGCTTGCTTGCTTGCTTTTTTTTAACTTTTTGAATGTTTGTTTGTTTTTGAGAGAGACACATACACCTACACAGAATCTGAAGCAGGCTCCAGGCTCCGAATCTTCAGCACAGCACCCGACGAGGGGCCGGAACCCACGACCGAGAAGTCACGACATGAGCTGACATTGGAGGCTTAACCACTGAGCCGCCCAGGCGCCCTGAGCCATTGTATTTCCTCTACTGGGAACTGTCCGTTTTTCTATTGGGTTCTTTACCTTTTTCCTGTTGATTCCCAGGAGCTTCCCGTGTAGGAGGCAAATGAGTCCTGTCTGATGTCAATTTCAAATCCTTTTTCCATCTGCTTATCCCTTCTTACACTTTATCAGTGGAACTTTCTGCCAGGAAGAAATGAAGAAGACAGTTTTACTGCTCTGCTCCGGAGACTAAAAGACTCCTCTAGTCCCCTCTAACATTCTGTGGCCACACGTTTTGGGGTTTTGTTTTGAGAGAGAGAGCAAGCGAGCCGGCGAGTGGGGGAGAGGGACAAAAGGAGAGCGAGAGAGAATCTTAAGCAGAGTCCAAGCCCAGCACAGAGCTCAAAGTGTGGCTGGATCTCACCACCCTGGGGGGCATGACCTGAGCCAAAATCAAGAGTCGGAGGCTTAACCCACTGATCTACACAGGTGCCTGCCAGCCCGCATGCACTTTTGATGGAGGTCAGTCAGCAGGCCACCGAGCCCCCAGGGTGGGGAGAGTCTGGGAGCAGTCTGGCCTCAGTTGCCCTGGCCAGGGTGGTGGTATTCCCAAACCTTCCAGCATCACACGGATCAAGGTGTGTATTTCAAGAGCCCACCCTGCCGGGTCCAGACCTCCCTCCTGGTACTTCCCCAGCTCGTTGGGGCACTATAAGCGCTCCGGGGCGGGTTCCCTGAGTGGACCAGGAGGACTGGGGCACACTATTGGCTCTTTTCAGAACTACCACCTGGCAGCAAATCTCAGACAGGTTTTAAAGAAAAATTCGACCCTTTCTTCCAAGTCTCCCCGCCCCCAAAAGAAATTATGGCTCCAGCAGCCACCAGAAGAGACTTACAGGGGCCCCCGGAGCTGTGGGCTGTGGGTTTGTGCAGCACAGGGGTGGAAACGATATTTGCAATGGTCATGCGTCGCTGCCAGGGTCACACCAGCCACGCCTCCGGGGAAGGGGCAGCAGAGCCAGTCCCGCTTCTCCCAGGCCGGTCCGGATCCACGCCGCCCCTGCCCTCCGCCTCGCCATCCACACCGCCCGCTCCCGGCGCCACGCCACCCACTCTCCCACTCCGGGTTTAAGCCGCCTGCCCCCGGCCGCTCTCCGTCCACGCCGCCCTTTTCCTCTTATCACCACTGGCGCCTCGCCACGCTCCTGTCCACACCGCCCGCTTTCCCACTACCCGACCCACATCGCCCGCTCCGGGAGCCACACCACCCACTCTCCCAAGCCCGGTCTACACTGCCTGCTCCCTGCCGCTCTCCATCCACGCCGCCCTTGCCCCCCGCATCACCATCCACGCCTCGCTGCTCTCCAATCCACATCATCCGCTCTCCCACTCCCGGTCCACACAGCTTACGACCTGCTGCCCAGCCCCCGCCGTCCGCTCCCGGGTCCACAACCCCCGGTTCGCGCGGCCCGCTTTCCCACTCCCCGTCCACACCGCCCGCGACCTGCTCGCTTCCCCGGGTCCGCGCCGCCCGCGCCCCGCCGCTGCCCGCGCACGCCGCCCGCTCTCCGTCGGCCCCCAGTCCGCGCCGCCGGCGCCCGCGCGAACTACAACTCCCACAATGCCCCGCCGCCGCCCCCCGGCTTCCGGTGCTGCGCAGTTTCCGGAGCGGATCGCAACCCGGAGTC